GCCAGTGTGGACAAAGCCCCTACAGGAGCTCCCAGGGCCGCCCCCTGTGACCCCTGCGCCGCCGCCAGGTGAGCGCAACCTCTCCTCACAGGACCAGGCCGGGTGGACTGAAATGGTGGATGTTGGTGCAGCAGTGGGTGGGGGGAGAGTCGTAGTGGAGCTCAGCACACCACCACTCTGACTTCGTTGCCTCCGCCTGCGTAGGAGGCAAGGATCGTGAAGCGTTCGAGGCCCAATACCGACTCGGGCCCCTCCTGGGTAAAGGGGGCTTTGGCACCGTCTTCGCGGGACACCGAATCACAGATCGACACCAGGTATCCACGAGGGTCTTGGGAGGGTCAGGTGTGTGTGTGGTGGGGACGGTGATGGGGCTACTAAGGCTGATAGACTGGTTGACTGGAGAGTGAGCCTGCAGTGTGTGTAGTAGAGTCGTGAGGACCAAGATCCTGATTGCCGGAGGTTATCTGTGGTGGTTGTTGGGGGGAGGGTGTCCAGGTGGAGATGTTTTTGGTAAAGGATTTCAGGGGAGAAATTCTGGAGATCCGGGGAGTTAGACCGGAAACTGAGGGGAATGAGGACCGTAGTCTCCAGGATCCAGGGGATGTTTATGGATAGGAAGGTGGGGACCTAGATTTGAGATTTTGGAGATTTTTTTGAGGTAAATCGACAGTGTGGAGTCATGAGAACTGGGACCACGGGTAGAGTTGGGGCATCCTGGATGTGGGTTAGAAGGTTGAGGGTTTGGGATGGAAGGAAAGTTAGAACCCAAGACCTGCAATGAGGGGTCTTGATGCCTAAGGGAGACCCTGGGGCTAAGGACAGTGGGTAAGGCGAACTTGGTTCCGGGGACTTGGAAGGTAGGGGAAAAGCCCTGGCTCATGGGTTGTGGGTCAGTATGGTAGGGGACCAAAAAGACTAGGAGGCTGGCTGATGGACAGACACTGGAAGTGGTCAGAGGGTCTAGACTAGGAGGAGCCTGCGGGTCACCTGCTGTCCCACTTACCCAGCCCTCTTTACCAGGTGGCCATCAAAGTGATCCCACGGAATCGTGTGCTGGGCTGGTCTCCCTTGGTGAGTATCTTTGGAAGTCCTTCCTCACTGACAATATCGCCAACGATGAATTAGCCCCTTGCTTTTCTGAGGGGTGATTCACTGAGTCCTCTAAGAGAACACTCCTACTAGCCCACGTTTACTGCCTTGGTGTGACATATAGTTCTGACTCGCTCCAGTTCCCTTAGAGCCTTGAATTTTACCCTCTAGCCCTTTCTCCTCATCCTTTTTAACATTGGTTTGAGGGCTGCCCGCAGGGCATGCTGGTGTGGAAAGAGGGGCAGAGGTCACTGGTTGCCATGGTGATGGTGGCTACTTTTCTCCTGCCGTTAGAACGCTAACGGACATCAGGGCGGGTCTGGGCACGCTGTCGGGGAGGGAGCGCCCTCTGGTGGGCTCTTCAAAGACTGCGCCTGGGCAGACAGTGAGACCCAGAGGCATACGGTGCGCCTGCGCAGTAGCGGAATTTGCATCACCGTGAGAAAACCGGTCTGCGCCTGTGCAAGTCGGCGGCCTGGCGGAGAGGGCCCCCACCTCTGCAAGAAGGCTGCTCCTGGCAGTCAGTGTGCTTGCGCTGGGCTTCTGGGGGCTTGCGGGGGGAGGAGCTTTCGTGGCCAGTAACATTTATTCCTTCTGTTGAGCTATTCTAGGTACTTGGTGATAGTGACAGAGTATCACATGATAGCATTTATTGAGTTTTACTTTCTGCCAGGTCCTTTGCAATTAAATCACTTTTCATCTATTTAACAAATGTATATTGAACACCTGCTAGACACAGTTCTAGGTACTTGGCAAAATATTACATAATATTTATTGAGAGCTCATCTTGTTGTCGGTCCTTTTTCTACTAAGTGCATTCACCAATTTCACAAACTTATTGAGCCCTGTCCTTTTTAAAAATAAAAAAATAATTATTTATTTAATTTTATTTATTCATTCATTTATTTTAATTTGACAGAGAGAGATACAGAGAAGGAAAATGAGAAAGCAAGCCACCAGGTCTGGTATTCCAACCGTGGTCAGCCATGTGGGGAGTGTCCAGCGCCTTAACTACCACACCACCTGCTGGTCCCCGAGCCCTATCTTATTACTGGTCAAAGTTCTAGTGCTTGAACTATGACAGGAAACAGAACAGCCAAACCAGTATACCATAATAGTATTTATTGAGTGTTATGTCCATGTCAGAGCCCATGCTATAAAATGCTTTCATCTGTGGGACTAGCAGTTAGCGTAATGGCTATGTCGCTGGACTCCCATGTAGTCGACTGCAGTTCATGTCCCAGACCTGTGGCTTAAAACTCAGGTCGGGCACATTTGCGTGCGTGCCCAAGATCCCAAGAGGAGAATAGAGGAGAGGGGATTGTGGCATGGCCATCTCCCTGGGGGTGATTTCTTGCTTTCTGTCTCTCTGTCTGCCTGGTGAGCGCACGCACTCTATAGCAAAAACCTCTCCAAAATAAATAAATAAATAAATAAAACAAAATGCTTTCATCTGTTTACCAAATATTTATTGAGCACCTACTCTATACTTCTACTTGTCAGTGAATGAAACAGACAAAATAACCACATAACAGTGCTGCTTCTACCAAAGGCCTTTTGTTAAGAACCACTTTAATTTATTGGAATATTTACTGAGCTGCTACCACATGCCAGATGTGTATAGGTTCTCTGCTCCATTCACCTTCTTGGGTGTCTGTAGGAATTTGAGCCTTTAAGAGAACTCAGGCCCAGGGAGGGAAATGGGTTGCTCAACGGGCTTTCAGTCAGGAGGCCCAAGGGGCTACATTTAAACTTAGGTGAGAAGTTGGTTTCAGAGTTGCTGGCCTGACATCTGCCTTCTCTTTTGTCTCCCTGCTTCCCACTCACCTCTACCCCCAGTCAGATTCAGTCTCATGCCCTCTCGAAGTGGCACTGCTATGGAAGGTGGGTGCAGGTGGTGGACACCCTGGCGTGATCCGCCTGCTTGACTGGTTTGAGACACCAGAGGGATTCATGCTGGTCCTTGAACGGCCCTTGCCTGCCCAGGATCTCTTTGACTACATCACAGAGAAGGGACCGCTGGGTGAAGGCCGAAGCCGCTGCTTCTTTGCCCAAGTAGTGGCAGCTGTCCAGCACTGCCATGCTCGTGGAGTTGTCCACCGTGACATCAAGGACGAGAACATCCTGATAGACCTCCGCCGGGGCTGCACCAAACTCATTGATTTTGGTTCAGGTGCCCTGCTTCATGATGAACCTTATACTGACTTTGATGGTAAGGCGTCCCATGAATCTCACTGGGGGGATTTTTCCCCCCATTTATCTTTATGGCCTTGAGATCTTTGCCCTCCAGTGGTGGGGGGTATCTTTTAACATTTCACCTATATTGCACCTTTATAAAGTCCTAATTTTCCATACTGGGGATTCACGGGCCTTGCGCTCTGCTAGAATTCATCTTTTGACAGTGTCTAACCTTGCCCTGGGCTCTTTTTCTGTCTGTTATCCTGAGTTATTTATTTTTTGTGTTGGGGGATCCCAGTATTTTTTTAAAGTGCTTTTATTCTGTTGAGGGGACTCTGCCATTATTTTGGCTTTTCTTTTTCTGGTGATGGGACCTTGCCATTACATTTAAAGTGTTACTGTTAGGGAGGGGTACCATATTTCTGGGAAGTGGATGTGGGAGGGAAAGAAGAACATAGTCAGAAAGTGGTTTAACCCCTGTCTTGCATGCAGGAACAAGGGTGTACAGCCCCCCAGAGTGGATCTCTCGGCACCAGTACCATGCACTCCCAGCCACTGTCTGGTCACTGGGTATCCTCCTCTATGACATGGTGTGTGGAGACATTCCCTTCGAGAGGGACCAGGAGATTCTGGAAGCTGAGCTCCACTTCCCTGCCCATGTCTCCCCAGGTGAGGTACTCACTGTCCCCAGCCCAGCAGTCTCTTTATTCTTTATCTCTTGCAGGGACTGGTACCCCCTATTGACAGCTAATCTCCCCTGTGCTTTTTGACCCACAGACTGCTGTGCCCTAATCCGCCGGTGCCTGGCCCCCAAACCTTCTTCCCGACCCTCACTGGAAGAGATCTTGCTGGACCCCTGGATGCAAACACCAGCTGAAGATGCACCCCTCAACCCCCCCAAAGGAGGCCCCACCCCATTGGCCTGGTCCCTGCTGCCCTAGGCTTGGCCAGGTCCCCACTGGCAGAATAGCCGTCCCAGGGCTATGCCATAGGGATAGATGGACATCTGTCGATCTGGTTTTACAGGTCACTACAAATCCAGTATTATTAAGGTCCTAGATTGGGGGGGGTCATGGGTCAGAAGACATAAGCCAAGTCTGCCCAGTCCCTATCCCAGTCATGTGAAGGAGTCTTCCACCCAGAATCTGTGCTCCCTTATTCAGAAGTGGGCAGGGTGGGGTGGGGGACTTCCCTTGTTTCTCATTTTGCTAAGGATGCCTATTTGGTTGAAGTTACTTCTGAGCCCTAGAACTCCCATAACATGTAACCCCTATACTGGCACCTCTTAATACCACCACAGACTTAGTTCAAATGCTCTTACTTGGGCAAAGGTGCTTTCTTTCCAATACCCTAGCAGCTTTTACTTTTAGCAGGGGAACCCTAACCCCCCCTAGCTTAGGGTCCCAGTTTTTTGTCAAGCTGCTTGTCTACCTCAGCCCAGGTTTGCTTATTCTGGGGGAGGTAATGCCCTCTTGTTATCCCAGGGCTCTTTTTTAAAAAATTTTTATTATTTTTAAATTTTTTGGTGAAGGGACTCTACTATGTTTTCCCAAGTGCTCTTATTCTGGTGAAAAGAACCTTACTTATGTGATTTTGGAAGGAATGAGAGATGGGTACCACCAGGCACCACCAGAGTCTAGAATGGGATGGATGGTTTTGGGGGGGATGGGCTTGGGAAAATAAGTCTTGCTGTTTGTTCTCCTGGGGCCCCTCCTCTCCAACTTTTGCAGATTATTACTGCCTCCTCTTGAGCCAGGATTATCCAGTTGCTAAAATGTAAATACTTAATCAATCGTGGTGAGGGGAGCTCTGAGTGTGGCCTCCTTTCCCTTCTCTTCCTGCCTGGATTATTTAAAAAAGCCATGTGTGGAAACCCACTATTTAATAAATGTAATAGAATCAGAAGTGACTGGTGTCTGTAGGTGCAAAGCATTCTGGGGCATCTACTGTGTATCTAACCAAGAGAGGTGGACTGGACCTTTTTACCTTCAGGTAATCTTCAGTCTTACTGCCATCCTAAAGAGCTTTGGTGGGTTCATTTGAGCTGGACCACAAAGACACTATCTCCTCCCTTCAGTTCTCATGCAGCACCCAGTAAACATAGAAGGGCTCTGTTGAAGATAATGTAGATGGTTAAGTTACAACTTATCCCCAGTCAAGGAAGACCTGTTCTGAAGACAGAAAAACCTACATTTC